AAAAAAAAACAAATAAAGATTAGCTTTATAAGGAAAAAATTTGAAATACAAATATAATTTTCTAATTTTATGAACCGGTAAAAATTCGGTTTTGTCTGGACCAGTTAGATTTTTCGTCCGGTCTTGTCCAGTCCGGAACCGGATTGCCGGACCGGTTCCAACTCTGTCTTGACCTGGCTTCTAGTTTTGATTAAACAATAAATAACAAGAAGAAGCTATTCGAGTAGGAGACATGAAATAAGTTTTTGTATTGGTAGTCGAGGGTTTCTCTTGTCTAAAATGGTGTCTGGATAACCAAAGTGATTCGTTATTAGTACTCATCAATTAAGACCGTCATCCGAGAAATAGTGATGAAAATCAGAGACCGCCAAAACTTGTCCCACGCTCATGCTTACGCCTACGCGCGTTGCATACCAACAAGTTTCTTTTGTATTCCTGCACCACTTTCCAAACATCGGGATGGGGTAGGAGCGTGTACCTCGAGAGGTAGCATAGGCGTGAGCATGAGCGCGGGGCAAATTTTGCCGGTCTCACTATTTAGATTCAATTGACTCTCTTTATTATCTATGATATATTTTTGAGTTAATGCGGACATTAGTTTGAGTTCTATCCTTAATAGTATATATATGAAGAAACGTACGAGAATAAGTTCATTTTTAATTCTTTCAAGTTGAGCTGTAAATTGCAAACGCTGTTGTGAAACTTCTTCTTCTTTACGATTTTCTAATTCCGTTAATTGTCTTTCATAATCTTCTTGAGTTTTTTGAGTTTTAGCTTGAAGATCTTGATATTTTTCATATTCTAACATTAGTTTTTGATTATTTGAGCTTTCTATAAAAATGAAAATAATATAATATTATATAGATAATAAACAAATAAATTAAATGCAAAAATGCAGCTAAAAACTTACAAACTAAAACTATAAAAAAATTCTTTCTACTAAATAAATTATGATTTAATAAATCGAAAAAATAAATTTTCTATTTACCTAAATCTTGTAATTCTTTGAGTTGTTTTTCCGTAAGATCATGTAATTGTTCAGCATGTCTACTTGCTTCTTTTTCTTTTTCACCAGTAACAACTGTATGTTTAGTCTTTAA